AGCCTGCTGCAGGCTGCCCACATCGTAGAACTGTTTGAAAGCTGAAAGGAGAGATGCTCTGTGCGAAACAGTGACGAGCTGCGCTGAAAGCTTGTTGAGTGGCTGCCATGCGTCTTGTACTAGGCTGCGAATGAGAGACAAGGGGCATTGTCCCCACTGCGAGGAATTCACTGTTTCTTAAGACAAAGTGTAACTGCACCCAGATGGTTGTGCAATAGGAGGAGGATCGACACCTGGGGAGTTGGGCCCTTCTGGAGGGGTTCGTGGAGGGAGAGGCTGCAGAATGAGCAGGAACTATAGGGGCGATGGGCGGCACACTGGTGCTCCAGGGGGCTTAGGAGCACCGGCGAGCCCAGGGACCCATGTGCAGTTTTGTTCACTACAAGCCAAACTTCCAGGGAGAACTGGACCCTTGCAGCCCAGCCAAGTGGAGGGGCCCCAGCTTTAGCCACTGCACCAGAGCTTCCAGCCCCAAGTTCTCCTAACGACTTTTCTTGGGAAGGAGCCGGAGACCACGCCTCCACTCTGAGCTGTGGGCTCTGTGTGTTGGTAGCTTTTTCCACCATCAACTACTTCTGTCTGTCCAGGGCACACATGAGCTTATGCCTTCAGCAGTGTCTAATTTTATGTACATGATAAAATTCCGTTGCCCCAGGACTGTGCAGATTCCATAAACAGACCTTTGAGTGGTGTGGCAAGTGTGCCCATCATTGTAGGTACAGAGCACTGGGAGGGGGGTGCTGAAGAACAAGATCAGAGAGCGAGACCGGGAGAGCCCACCGTGGGGCTTACATTTTAATGCCAACATTTCCAGGTGATGTGGAGATGGGCAAGACCTGGCTTTGGGTGAAAGCAGGATGCGACAAAATTAAATCTGATGATAGTTTAATTTAGGCTCATTTTTCAAAAGGTAGATTATGGGTAGATAATGATAAAGACATGGCGAAGCAGTAAGGTTGGGAAAGTGAGTGAAAGGCATGTGGGAGTTCTTTACAGTGCTTAGTATCTGTTGTATGAACCCTAATTATTTAAAAAACAAAATTAAGAAAGAAGAAGACGGTGACAACAGAGGTCTAGGCTGATGGCATGCAGGAGAAGATGCAGCTGCTCTGGCCCAGGTGATGGGAGGTGTGGGGGGTCGAGTTCGGAGCATGGCATGGATGGTTCTGATGCAGGAGGTACCATCTCCTCACAGACAGAAACAGGAAACAGACGCCGGCTTTGTGTAAACCAGGATCTGCTGCCAACCTGCAAAAGGACGGCTACCTTTTCCCTAAATAAAATGTGGACTCACAGACTGCCTGGGTAAGGATTGTGCACCAGTCACCGCAGCTCCACAGGCTCAGGACCCTGGTCACGATGGTGCGGGCCTCCACGCATGCGGCAGTGGTGGTGCCGTGGTGGTTCCTCTGCCCCCCGAGGGCAGGGGGAGCTGGGGTGCACACGCATTGCAATGGAAAGATGTGCCTGTGAGTCTGTGTCCTTTAGCGCAGTTACCCAGAGATGTTCTCAGTAGCTTGCCCTTTGTACAGACTTCAGAGTAGAACCACAGATGCGCTGACAGCCACTGTGCAAAATTTTGTTCATCCATATGAGCAAAAGAGGGAGGGTTTAAGTTCTATTTGGAAACAAAAGGTTGCCTTGCCCTGCGCTAGGAATCTTGCTACGGTGAAGGGAAGTCATCTTCTTTAGTGCTTCTCCTCTTCATACGCAGTGGTGTAGAAAAGACAACACCGAGCTTCCAGGAGATGAAGGACTTCCTCGGAGCCACACAGCGCCTGCGAGCAAAGCCAGGTCTTGCTGGTCAATCTGCTGGTTCACCAGGAGGAAGCATCTGCCTCAGCAGGCGCTGGCCTCAGACTCAACTAGGTGAAGGGCCCAGGGATTCTAAGACAAGCTAACACCTTGGCGTGGCAGGGATTGGTTCAGTGTTGGGACTGCAAACCAACATGGGGCAGTAGAATGTGGAGAAAGAAGCCTGCCCAGGTCTTGGGGGCGAGTCCTTCCTCAGTCTTCTGGGGGGCCTTTAGAAGCGCTGCCCAGCTTGCTCCACACTGGACCCTGCTAAGGAACTGGACAGTAGTGGTGGATGTCACTGGCCCACGCCCAAGAGCTCCGAGCGTGTCCGCCTCAGGGTGGAAGGAGGTCGGGTCGGGCAGAACAGGGCAGGTGGGTTTTGGTATCAGCAGCTTCTCACACATACGCTGGACCCTCTCTTGCTTTCCAAAGACTTTGCCTGTGTAATTATTCCTGCTTCCCATTCTCTTCCCTGCTGTACCTTCTTCAGTCTGGATAGTCCACATATACTTTGATTCTTCCACATTACAACAAAACAGGCCTTAGGCTCCACATTCTCTTCCGGTGACAGTCCTGTCTTTTTCTCTCAGGACTTCATCAGGACTTCGGTCTGTATTTCCCTACCTCCCGTTCACCCTTTTAGGGCAGGCTGGCCTGGCTGCTGTCAGGCCTGCTCTTCCAGAGCTATTCCTGTCAGTCACCACTGTCCATCTGGCAATGCCCACGTCATTCTGACCCCATTTGCTTGACTTCCCTGCCTGACTTAAATGGTTTCGAGCTCCTCTCTTGGTTTCGCGCTGCCACACTCACCTGGTCTTCCGCTGCCTCCTGCCTCCTAGCTGCTGTGTCTCAGTCTCCTTCTTTATTGAACTTTTTTTTCTTTTTCTTTTTTCTTTTTCTTTTTCTTTTTTTTCAGAACTGGGGATTGAACTCAGGCCCTTGTGCTTGCCAGGAAAGCACTTATTCTACTGAGCCATCTCCCTGGCCCCTTTATTGAACTTAAAAAAAAAAATCTTTTCTTTATTTGGTACAGGGTCTAACTACACAGCTTGGACTCATAGCAATCCTCCTGTCTCAGCCTTCCCAGTGCTTGGATTACAGGGTGCATTACCATGCCTGGTTTTGGTGGCCAGCTCAATGCCCAGGGCTGGCATGGCATGCCATACTGAGGATCAAGCCCAGATCTTGTGCTTGCCAGGCAGGTACTTAGACTGCGAGCTACCTCCTCAGCCTTTTATTGAACTGTTAAATGTTGGCCTGCCTCTAAGCTTGGTCCTAGGCCCTCTGTTTATATCTGCTTATGCCATGTCATGCTATCTTATGCCAGTAGGCACTATTGTATATGTGGAAGGTTTTATATATGCTGCATAGCATCAGACATGGAGACAGGGCAATGCATAGGGGAGCAAAGCCCCTCCCTTAACAGGGCATCGTTCGTGGGGGGGGGATGAGCGAAGGGCACAGGCCAAGGATCACGTGATGTCAGGCAGCAGTTGTGACGGGAAAGAAAGTAAAGACATGGAGCCTGATAGGGTTTTTTTTTTGTTTTATCTTTTTGAGAAAGGGTCTCCCTACATAGTTCAGGCTGGCCTTGAGACCACTTTGTAACCCAGGCTGGTCTCAAACTCACTACAATCCTCCTGCCTCAGCCCCCTGAGTGCTGGGATTACAGGTGTGCGCCACCACACATGGCTTGGAACAGCACAGTTATGATGGCACTATTGTTTTATAGAGTGGCTAGGGGAGGACTTTTTGGGAAGGTGACATTTACAGGAGGGGAGGAGAATGCGAGAGAGAGGCACCAAGTGTGACTCCACATGACTTGTGGGACAGGAGGGTGATGGTGCCATCAACAAGGACAAGGAGAGTTAGAAGATGCAGGAGAGGAGACCTGTTAATACACCTCCTCTCAGGGTAACAGGGTGACTAGGCAGCCACTTAAGCGGATCGAGTTCCTCCTGTGAATGATTCCTTTTGTAGTTCTCAGGGCAACCTGCCCTGCCCTGCCCTGCCCTGCCCTGCTTCTCAGACCACCTGCCACTGCCACTCCCCACATGGGTGGCCTTTGCCACCTCCGCAGCTCAGCGCTGTCATGATTTGCCTTCACTTGTGATAGTGAGACATGGCCATGCTCATACAGAGCTGCACTGTCTGGCTTGCCACCACGCGTGGCAGAGAAATGGCTCCTGCAACAGCTGCTGAGAGAACAGAGGGTAGCTCGCTCCCCAGAGCTGTCTGAGCAGCCTGGCTCTGGCACACATAGCAACTCGGCCCTGGCCTGGGGCCTGCTCTCTCTGTGGTGTTTTCTCAATTTCAAGAGTGATTTGATGATTTTAAAGGCATATCCACTTTGAAATTATGTTTAATTATAGAATTTTTATTTGACCTCATCAAATGTGCACCCAAAAATCTCATTTTGACAGCAACAATAGTAAAGAGCTCTCAATGCAGAATGAGAGCAAATCACAGCATCTGATAAAGTTTACCACTGGGGTCTGCATTCCCCTAGCCCCAGGGGGCAATCTTTTCTTTGAGCCCCACTCCAGTGTAGAGCTGAGGCCAGACAGAAAGGAGTCAGGCTCCCGGAACCGGATGAGCACCACTGAGCTGTTCTGGCCTCTGAGTGCTGCTGGTTTTTTTTTTTTTCCTCCTTTGGAATGGAGTCTTGCTCTGTAATTCAGGCTGCCTTGACTTCATTCTGTAGCCCACCGCTGGCCTCAAACCCACAGTGGTCCTGCTGCCTCAGCCCCCGGAGTGCTATTGTTACAGAGCGAGCCACAGTGCCAGTCTGTGCTCTGCTGTCTCAATTCACAGGTATTCCAAAGCTGTTTGGTGGCAAAGGCAGAAAGTTTGCGGGCGGGGGGCGGGGGGCAGGGGGCGCAGATATTTCCCCACCTCAGCGATGAAGAAAATGACTCCCGGGTGTGCTGGGTGGCATTAGCTCAGACCTGTAGCAAGTGACAGAAAAAACTTACAAATGACCCTCCACTGCCATGTGCCTCCCACAGCAGCAAGGACATCTACAGTCAAGGGTCACTCCTCTGGCTAGAATCAGTGTCCAGGGGACACATGTCTGCTTACTGAATCAACAAGTGAAGAGAAATTGGCTTTTAAAACCCTGGTTTAGAACCAAGCAATGAAGAGACGCCAATTTACACTTCTAGTCACCCGGGAAATCCTACTGCAAAGCTAACTATTACGTAAGTTACATACACAGCTACGTGGGAGTCACGCCATAAAAAAAAAAAAAAAAAAAAAAAAAAAAAAAAAAAAAAAAAACCCTCAAGGCAAAAGTCCAGGAGCCGGAAGAGTTTCTGGGGAGCCTTCTGCGGAAGGAAGAGACACAGGACGACCGACGGCCCCTCCCCCACCATCTGTCGGAAGAGCCTCCACTTTATTTTCCTCTTTCTTAGAAGTTTTTGAAGAATTCACTACTAAGAGAACCCAGGTGTTTTGGGTTTTTTCCCCCCTCAGTAAGAAGGAATTCTCTTACCCCTGCGGCCATAGGTTCTTGTCTGGAAGAGGGTCTCTGTCATGTATGTGCGTGTGCGTACGCTCTCTCTCTCTCCCCCTCACCTCCCTCCCGTGCCACTTTGCTATGCAAAGCTGTGCACAGGGCTTTTACCATTGGGCACGGTTTTTAATGAAATTTTAAAAATGCGTTCATCATCTAGTACTTGCATACAGCTGGAAGAAAGGAAAACCCAGGCAGATGTGTGTTTTTCCTTTCTCCCACTCCAAACCAACCTCTGCTGCCTCTGAATATAAAAATGCACTAGACAGAGCCAGATATTGTGACTAGTGACAATGCTGAACGCCAAGGAATTAAAACATCAATAAACCAAAATCTTAAATAGAAAAATGAATAAATAACATTT